TCTGCTATAAAATTCTGTGCTATGCTACTTATAAAATTGTACTACACTGATTCTGCTTATTAAAACACCTGTGCTACCCTGATCATAACATTCTATGCTGGTCATAAAAGTTTGGTAAAAAATAAAACTTTAAATCTAACTACAACTTAGTTTCATCATCATTCTGCCAAGGATTTCCAAAAGAACTTGTCTGTCCCTATAAAGCCAGGTGACAGCCTCTCCTCATGGGAGAGATGCTCCAGTCCTTTAATCATCTTTGTGGCTCTTCGCTGTCCAAGACTCTCTTGTGCTGAGGGGCCCAGAACTGGACATGGTACTTTAGATGCAGCCTCACCAGTGCTGAATAAAGGGGAAGGATCACCTCCCTTGACTTTCTGGCAACAATATCCCAATGCAGCTCAGGATACTGTTAGCCTTCTTTACCACAAGGACACATTGCTGTCTCATGTTTAGCTTGGTGTCCCACCAGGACACTACACACATACAGTCCTTTTCTGCAAAGCTGCTTTCCAGTTGGTGAGCCCCCATCATGTACTGGTGCATGGGGTTGTTCCTCCCCAGGTGTGGGACTTGGCACTTCCCCTTGTTGAAATTCATGAGGTTCCTGTCAGTCCATTTCTCCAGCCTGTCAAGGTACCTCTAGATGGCAGCACAACCCTCTGGTGTATCAGCCACTCTTCCCAGTTTTGCATCATCTGTGAACTTGATGAGGGTACACTCCTTCCCACTATCCAGGGGTGTTGGCAACTTGGTGCCAAAAACATATTTTGGGTTATTCATATAAGATTTTTTCCCCATAATCAGAGAAGAGGGAGGAATAAGGAAAATCTCATGATTTCAGTATTCAAAGTCAGGCTTGGTAATTTACCTTTAATGACATAAAATAATTAAGTGTTCATGTATTAGTATGAAAAAATATGTCTCAAGGAAATTCACAGCACTGTGGTATTATTCTCTTCACTGTTCATCATGTCTAGCTTTGGATAAATTTTTTTTTTTTAATTCAGTGAGTAAAATAAAATTCCAATTTTAGTTAAGCACAATAATTCAAAGCAGTCACATCTATTAGCTAAACACTGACAAACGCTTCTACTGTTCCCTGTTGCTGAACTACTGCTAACAGTGTGAGCTATAGTGTGTTCTGGAAATAAGAGGCTTCCTCACAGACTTGCATAAATCCCTGAGGAGGAATTTTTCTGCTTTCGGTGAAATACAACTTAAGCATTATGCTTTACCTCAGTTAAATTTACCTCAGTTAAATCCCATCTTATTGACATTCATACTTACATGGGGAAAAAAATTAAAAAGATTTGACTTAGCAAGTAAACTTACTTCATACCAGCACACCAGCACACGTGGCCCAACTTTAAAATACTAAGTCCTTTTAAATTAAAATACTGAAGAAACTGCTTCTTCACAATCTGAAGTCACATCACTACATTTTGCTCATGAGAATAAAATTTACAGTCATGAGTTGCACATAAAGGATTTATTTTAAATGTTTTAAGGATAGAGTTACATCATAATTATAAAAATTACTTACAGAATTAAGTAACAGATTTAAAGTGTTCATACTTCTAAATGCAAAGAAAATAAAAATAATGAAACCAAGCTCTAAAGATGAAGTCACTACCTAATTTTAAAATGTGAACACGAAGACCTTTGAACTATACACATACCAAGAACCATCCAAATTGCACTAATGATATAAAATACAAAATGCACAACATTTTCAAGGAACCAGAAACTGTTTTTTACCATAATTATTTTTCCCTGAAGTAACTGTAATCTATTCTATTTGAAGATAAAGCCTCCATTTTAAATAATTAATTTAAAGAAGATGTATACCTATTGTAATAAATAGGATTTTCCCCAAAGTATTTAAGTCTTTATGTAGTCCAACTTAGTTTAGGCTTTGGCATTCAAAAGAAAAAAAATTCAGTGTTTTACTTATCAATTGTGATTTTATTTATTCTTGAACTTATCAATTGTGATTTTATTTATTCTTGAACAGAATACATGGTCCCTTCAAATGCTGTATGACACATACAACTGGAAAATTACCTTCTGTTGGCACTATGTTCGCCTCACCAGTGCATTTAATCCTACTAACAACCATTCAAACAGTACAATAAGTAAATTCACAAAAAACTGAACACAAAATAAAACCAAAACAAACTCCAAACCTAAACATTATAACATGCAACTTCAGTTTGTTACATTGAATGTTCTAACCTTCTAAGCATGCAAAAAAGGATGGTCTGCGTTTAAGGGGTTTTTTTTTCCTTTTTAAAAGTTTTACATGGCAGATTGACATCATGCACACACAATATACAACAATACTACAGCAGGTAAATGAGAGGTCAATAACTTTTATATATAGATCCATGGCTTGTGTCATCACAAGACCTATGATAAATTTGGAAAGTAATGTTGAACCCCTAGAACAAGGGACCAACATGTAGTTACTAGGGTAATGCAAGCACTGCATGCAGATCTGAAACATGAGCCTAAAATAAAGCCCAAAGCAGATGGCAGGGAGTGGAATTAGTCTCAAGTCTCAAAAAGGTGGTTTAAGCTATTAAAAAAAACAACCACAAAATCAAAAACACTCCCTCCACAAACCTTAAGAAAAAAAGATGAAAAGAAAAAACCCATGCAACAGACAATGGGGACATCCGAAAACAACCATAAAATTTGACAGTATATACTGTAGAGATTATATTCTAATTAGCAAAATATGGTGTATTAGAGTGGCTTACATAAAAACTCACAAATGCAAGCCTAATGCTAAAAATGTTCCAGTAGACCTAAACCTCAAATATTTCAAAACAAACCTTGTTGTTACATCCTTAGATGTAAAGCCCAAAATTCATTGTACTAAGTTATTAATGTATTTTGTGTGTAATCAATACACTCATTGTTGTGCCACAAATATCAGCTTGGGCTCATGGAGCCAGGCTCAGCTTTGAGATTTACATGCAGGACTCTTAAGAGTCAATAGAAAGCACATAACAGATCTGCAGGATGAAAGCACTGTGTTGCAAATCTGCTCATTTTGTTCAAAACACAATGCAAATTTACGGACTCAGATAGTGCTTAAAGAAGTTGTGAACTGAAAGACAATAGCCTGCCTTTGGTTGCCCATGATGAAATACAGGATATAATGCAATATAGTAGCAAGGGACAAAGAATTAAGATACCATATTTATACAGTATTAGCATTTAACAGCATAATGAGGCACAAACCTTAAGGCTAAAATATGAAATCAGGCAAAAAAATGGACAGAAAAGGACTTAAACCACTGAGTCTTTGATATCAAGAATACCCACAATAGAGGTCAGACCTCTGTTCTCTGATTAACAGTACCTCTCCTGCATCCTCCCACTGACATCATAAGGTTGGATATCTATGTGTTCCTTCTTTCCATCAATAGCATTGACTGTATTCACATTCTTCACATACTGTATTTCTGTGAAGCAGTGCTTTGAAGTTTGTAGAGCTCTGCTTTAACATGACAATTTTGTCGCTATGCTGATCCTTGTTACAATTACGATGCTTTTAAAAGTTGCTATTCTTAAAAAACAACAAATACCCTACCCTTGATTTACAACTATCTTGCAAGATTAAAACTGTGAAAGGATTCTGCTGTTGTGAGTTGTTATTTACATCCACAATCTAATGCAGATGACTGAACCACTGAGACTGTCTATAGCTCTCATTAGATAGTACACCACTGGCATGCAAAACTCTAGTGTTCATAGAATGAAATTCACATTAACGGCATACCTCAAAGCAAGTACACCACTAAAGGCAACAACAGGTTTAAACTGTAGGTTTGTCTGGACACTTCTTACATGGAAAAGCCAGAAAAAGAATACATTGAAAAGATACCTTCTTGAACCAAAATGGTTAAAAACAATAACAAAGCCCAACACAAAACAAAGCAAAGGAATACAGCAGATTGAGCAGAAGGCAACAAATGCATCTCCTTCTCCTTCTCTAAAGGAGGTCCTCAGTGTAAAAGGACCCCCCCTCCAAACTTGTATTTACTGTGGAAAAGATTAACTAATACTAGGTTTTTAAGTCCACACACAAACATCCAGGTTGCTAGGTTCTGATATTAAATGAGAGACTACTGATTGCCAATGTGTAGTCTAAAGTCTTCTTAAGTAGCATTATATACTGTTAAACTTGTGGCACCAAGCACTTGTATTCTGCTACGAAATGTGTATAACAAAACAGAGTACAACATTTAGGATTAAAGGCAGCTTTGTTGTGATGTATTTTACTGGTTCCTACAATTTGTAAACACAGGCGCTTAACCTGCATTTTCTAATTAACTGGATATGCAGATTAAATATATTTTTATAGTTTAAAGCCTTTTCACTGAGAGGTGCATAAGTCAAACACCTGATACCCTACTGCCCTGTGACTAGTAAAAATGCACAAGTATTTCCATGTACTGCAAGTTCTTAAAAAACTTAATTTGAAATGAAGTGTAGAAACACAGTAAATTGATGTTACTTGGGTTAGACACTCCCTACTGCTGCACAAACTGTTTAAATCTTTCAGAAGAGTCACCTCTGTCCCAAGCCAGAAAACAAGGACTGCCAGTAGCCAAGAAATTAATGTTGCAAAAGAAGGCATATGGAAAATAGCAAACTACACTTGAATGTGGCAGTTGAACAGGTGATGCAAGGTTGAAGGAAAAGTTAATCTATGAAAAAATCTAGATTACAATACTAGATTGATTTCACACAGCTTGAATTTACAACTGTTCTTTGCTTTTAACTCCCTACCACCCAAATATATTGACTTCCTTCAAGAAAAGGAGTTCTCTTACACAAGATGTGTCATGTTCACATAAATTTATATTATTCAGAACAAAACAGAGTTGCTAGCAGAGATTGTGGGTTCGCAGGGACATTTAAGCTTTCATTTAACTGAAAAACAGTCAAGTCTGTGTCTACAAATTTTACATTTAATAGTTCCACAAATTTGGCAGAAGTTCATGATGACGCCTAGGATGTCTTCACCAAATCATAGACATAAATATGGAAATCATCATCAAACTTGATGAAATAGACAGATGGTTTGGCTTCAACTTGATGAATGACCATGCCAGTCCGTTTTGAGCCATCTTCTTTGGCATATTCCACTTGTTTGCCTACCAGGCTGTCCACAACTTCACCTGGTTCTCGTTCTGCAGGAGGTGAATCATCTGTAATATGAAAATACAATGTACTTTGGTAGACATTTATGAATTTTTTCCAATATACAAAACTGCAGAGACTTCTTTAAAAGTTAAGAAACAATCACAAGTTTAAAATGCAGAGTATGTCTAAAACGAGTTGTTTAGACAAACACCTAACTATTACCATGCTTCTAGAGAGTAGTCACAGATTTTATTTTTTTAGGTAATACCATCCTCACTTTTATGAAGAAAAAAATAGCACTTCAATTGGTTAGAAAAGTAAATCTTTCGACATGAAGGTTTACACACCTATTACAAAATGTTTGTAGATAATTGAATTTAAGCCCCCAGCAGAACAAGGCATTTAGTGTCTTTAACAGAAAGGCAGGTGTGCTAGAACCCACACACTATCCAAAATGTCAATGCAAACATGCCATTGCAACAAACCCACATCTTCCAAGCTAAGTGCAACCTCCTTAATCAATAATGCTGTTGAAAGGAGCTTTTGATTTCACACTAGAATGGATACTGTTGAGAAGTTTAACTATATTATTTGCTTTTCTAGCAAAATCTACCCAGAAGTATCCCTAAAGACACAATTCGCATTGTCTGTAAAAAATCCAAATTCAGGGAAGGTAGCTCATAGTTCATAGTGTCTTAGAGGTAAGTAATCATAGAATCATAGAATATCCTGAGTTGGAAGGGACCCACAATAGATAGTCTCAGGAAAAAAAAAACACATTAAAAAGTTAATTCTTAAATATGAAAAGCATAAGTCTTTTTAAACTTATTTTTCTAAGAAAGAAGAAAGCAAAGCAGAATTTAAAAAGTAATTGCAAGGTATTTCAGGGTGGCAACTCTGAAAGAGCTTGCTTTATTTGTTTTTTTTTACAAATAGGAAGGTCAATTTTTCCATTAATATTTGTGGTTCCCTCTCAAGCCACAGATATGTTGATTTTTTTTAGGCTGGAAAAAGTCTAAAACCATAGGATTAGTACAGAGGTTATGCAAGTAAGTGTCACCTGTTTACTTGGCCACTGCTAGATCTGAAGGAAGACAGTCTCAGAAACTCAGTGAATTAATTTTAAATAATATTTATGTAGTGCATTGCAAATTAGTGTTTGGCTATCGAATTAATGATTTACTTCAAAGCCAAAATCGCTTCTCTGTCACAGAAGTGCTTTTGAGGCGCAGGACAACGAGAGTACAATATTCTTGACAAAATTTTTTCTTTTTTTTTTTTTGGTATTAGCTATAATCCCTTGAACAACACCGTGTGAAAATATTTATAGGAAAAAACCAATAACTTTCACTTCAAAAAAGGAAGAAAAAATATTCCTCCTAACCTATTGAATTTTTTTTCCTGTTTACGTGTTTAAACATGTGAGAGAAAATGAGTTTTCAAAAATTAGTGCTTCTTTCCTCCAAGAAACTATTCAAAAACTTTCCAAACTGAAGATACCTACCCAAACTAAATTAACTGGACTATTTTAGTTAGCCCCAAAACATTATTTTTATAAGAACTGCTTCAAAAATACAACTCCTTGAGATGGTTCTTGATTTGTGACACTTCTATAAGAAAATAACAACAGAAAGTATCTAGTTTGTCAGTGTAAAAAAAAATCTAAGTGTAATCTCTTCCACAACAGTATGTATGTCTTTATCAGAATTCGGAATTATAATGGAAAAGGATTTTCCAGTATTTACTGCATATTTCACCACTGATTCAAGTAAAATATTTCAGAAATTGTTTAATACAGATGTTTTTTCAGTTGTGCTGTAAACCTTTCTAGTCTTGATACTTAAAAAGATCCTTGTTTGTCAACTCTCTTTTCCATATATAACCCATAAGCCATACAATAATACAGAGAGATGCCACTTTCCAGAAGAAAAAAGTAGCTGTTCTACTTACTGGAATCGGGCATAATGCGAAGGTCACCTTCTTTATAGTCATCTAAGAGTTGGTACATGTACAAGACAGGATCTTTCTCGTAGGTAATATAAAACCATGTGTTCATAATAGGAGCTCGAGCCAAGATCATCCCCCTCCATTCATCTTTTGAGCCATCCTCTGTCTCAAACATATGTTCCACAGCTTTGCCAATCATTGTGTCTGCCAGGTGGGCATCGCTAATTCGAGATGAAGCTGAAATGGTAGCAGTTCATAAGTATGTCCATTCAAAAAGTACAGAAATAAGTCTTTGCAAAGATTAATCTTTATCCAGATTCATGAATAAATTTGTTTGAAAGTTGGACAATTCACATACAAAACAAATAATGTCCATTTCAGAGAGTTAAAGAACAAAGAACAGCAGAACTTGAAGAATTATTTTAACATGTTGACACTTTATTGACATTTTCCATTATTGCAGCCCCTCTCCCAATCCAACTATCATAATGCAAAGTAAAGGGAGACCAATATAGGTCACAGTAAGGAATAGCATCTGTATTTTAAATATTTGTATTGTGGGTGGAGGGGAGGGAGGCTAAATCACAGAGCAGTTGTATGAAGTTATTAATGAAGGTGTTTGGTTTGGTTCCCCCTAACTCCATTCTAGAGACTGCTACTGATTTCTTTGCAGACAGGAAAAGTAAGAATTTATTCCATTCAGAAATAAATAATTACTAGGGTAAACTTTGAACTTTACAGTTTGGAAACACCTGCAGTTTAACAATTCAGTGCTAATTATAAAAAACAATAAAGTCTTGTTACTAGTCATTTCACTTAGAAAATGCTTTTTTCCCTCCGCTTGTATTAAAACCTAGGGAAAGCACATGAAAAAAAAACCCAACCAAACACATAATTACTGTCAAACATGCACAAGAAAACATAGTCAGGACATTTCTCAGCTGGTTCAGAGATTAAATTTTAATGGAACTATCGCTGTTACATGTACATAAGCTTGTTAGGGATAAGACTCAAAAAGAAAAAACACAGAATTTTCTGCATACCATTTAAAGACAAGAGACAGCACTAATCTCTGCTATCATCAAAAATTTGTGAAATAAACCCAAAATTAAACAGAGCATTTAGATTATCTGCCATGTAATGAAAAGTAATTTAATAAAATTTAAATGTTCTGACAACATATGCACATATAGGAAAAAAACGCTTACCAACTCTGTCTGGAAGGACTTCAAGTGCTGAAACTCTTTCATCTTTGTGCAGTTCTAGTCCATACACACAATCAAATCCATCATACTTTATAAGATAGAGGGAGGGATTTACAGGAACTTGATCAAGAACTGTGCCCTTCCATTGTGTTACAGGTCCACTCCCTTCTCTCCAGCCATGCTGTATTCTGCAGCCTACAATGTTTCTTCGTGGCTGAGAAATAGGTTTGCTTGGTCCAACATTGTTTCTATGCTTTCTGTACAGATACAAACATAACATTAAACAAGTACATACTCAAAATTCTACTCCAGACAAAAGGTGCATGCTTTAGGAAGGCAATATATTATTATTATATATTAATATAAGATACATTAATTTCTAACACATACAGTTTAGTGCACCTTATTCAAATTAGGGTATAAAGGATATTACATTGCACTGGAAAAGGAAAAAAAAACACACTGAAAAGTAGTGGAACATTTTCAACATTTTGTATAAGGTTGTTTTCATAATAGTAGTTTCTAAAACCAGTTTGCTTAAGCCAAAATAACTTTTTTAGCCATTGCTACACTGAGCATCAAAAGTAAAGTTTGCTTGTTAAAACTCTAAATCAGGTCTGAAAGAGCAATGTCACCTAATAGTATTATATACTTTTGCTACATTGTCGCTCTTGGCAGAATAGTAAACATAATTCCCTTACCCCAGGAGGAAGAATTTAGTGGTGGTTAATTAAAATTCTTCAAAGCATTTGTTTTCCCTAACCTTTGTTGTCACCTGAAGGAAATTTTGCTTCCCTTTGCACTTGCAGGTATCTTTGACTTCAAGTGTTTTTAAAGACACATGGTAGCGACAATATTCTTTCAATATTCCTTTTTAGTACAACACAAGAAAAATTATATGCAAAGGTCACAGTAATAGAAGTGATATTCTTTAAAGCAGATAATAAATTAAATATACTTTTTACCCTTCCTCATTTTTGTAATCCAACTCGCACAGAAAGATTCCTTCTGGTGAATGTCAGTTGCTCTGATAAACAGTCATGTAAGCTATTTGACAGTTTCAACCCACTAAAACAGTGTTACACAAGTTTTATTCTATTGAGTTAAAAAAATCAAAACAGTAAGTTGACACTTGTAAATACAATGTATGAAGAAACACAAACATTATGACATTACATCTGTGATAAATGTATATTATCTTTATTTTAGCATGTTACAATATGCATATTCATTCCTAAAGTGATATTTAGTGGGTTGCCTAAATAAAATTCTCACAAATGTTAGCTAATTCCAAAATAGATTTCTGGATTAATTACCAGTTATAGTACACTTCATTAGAATGGCAATATACACATCACTAGCATGCTTAAAAGTAACATGTAAAAAAAGAAAAATCAGTTGCATAAAACATCCATCATTAGATTAGTGACAATGACCAAAGAAAAATGTCTCTAGGAACAATGAAAGCTCAAAGAGCAGCCCATGTATGATAGAGATCTACAAGACACAATGAAGTCTCATAATGAGTCTTAAAGAATAATAAAAACAGTATATAAAATTACTAATGTTGAAGATATAATCTTAACTCTATTAAAAACAAGATGTATAATTCCTTCAGCAGCTTGTCCCACCTCAAGATTCATTCTCCATGAAAATCTTAGTAGAGTTCCACAGTATCTTTTGTCAAATTTAATTTCTGTGATGATTTAACCTGATCAAGGAGGTCAGTCTGCATTCACAATCTGTGTTGTCAAAGTTAGGGGTATTATAGAAATGCTAATCTCTTCCGGTTAAGAGGAACTCCTCTGCAGAGTTGGTTCTAATTTTCCACAGGAGTTTGAACACATGTTCAAATAATACTTCTTGCCCAAGTTTTATTTTTAAAAAAAATTAAAATAGTCTCAGTAAAGTTTTATTCTGAATAAATGAGATCTGGTTCTTAGGCACTATGTAAAGGACATTGTTTTGCATGCAATTAATGTATTCAGCTTCAATGAATCGCAATTCCATTTTAAGGTGTCCTCAGAGAATAAAACTAACTGCTACTGAAGCTAAAAAGTTGAAGTGGGAAAAGGTAAAATAATACTGCTCATGTTTAACCACACAGTTAATTTCACTTTCTGCCTATAAATCATAATCATACCATTTTAAATTTGCACAATTAAGTGAAAAGTTTCAGTCGCTTAAAAAATACGATGAAAAAAGCTACATAATACAGTTTAATTTGGAAACTACCTTTTAAAACACCTTGGAGAGAGCAAAAAGTGTCAAATGCAATTACAAATCGAGCAGCAGCCAGGTATACTTGCAGTTCAAGTTTTCCTTTGTCTGAAGTCTGGTACTACTGGACAGCCACTCATTCTCATTTGGACTGCTATTTGTTATAGCAGGAAATATGATTTTCAAACAAATAAATTGCCAAAGATAAACTATTTTTGCTTGCAACTGAACATGTCATAAGAAAGAAAACAGGTTTCTAACTGACTACAAATAACAGAATCATAGAATGATCAGCCTTTAAAGATCACCTAGATTCATTAAATCGGGTTGCTCCAAGTCCCATCCAAACTGACCATGAATACTTTCCAATGATGGGGAATCCACAGCTTCTCTGGGCAACCTGTTCCAGTGCCTCGCAACCCTCATCATAGGAAATTTCTTCCTTATGTCCAATCTAAACCTACCCTCTTTCAGTTTAAAACCATTGCCCCTTGTCCTGTCAATACAGACCCTGGTAAAAAGTCTCTCTTCGTCTTTTCATAAAAGTGCCTTTTATATATTGAAAAGTCGCAATAAGGTCTCCAGAGACTTCTCCAGGCTGAATAACCCCAACTCTCTCAGCCTTTCTTCATAGGAGAGGTGTTCCAGTCCTCTGATTGTTTTTATGGTTGTCCTCTGGACCCACTCCAACAGGTCCATGTCTTTCTTGTACTGGGGGTCCCAGAACTACACACAGTACTCCAGGTGGGGGTCTCATCAGAGTAGAGTAGAGAGGGAGAATCACCTCCCTTGACCTGCTGGTGATGTTTTTTTGATTCAGTCCAGGATACAATTGGCTTTCTGGGCTGAAAGTACATGCTGCTGTCTCAAGATCAATTTTTCATCCACCAGTACCAGGTCCTTCTCTGCAGGGTTGCATTCAATCCATTCATCCTATAGTTTGTATTCATACTGGGGATTGCCCTGACCCAGATGCAGGACCTTGTATTGGTCTTGTTGAACTTCATGAGGCTCTCATGTACTGAGCCTGTCAAGGTCCCTCTGGATGGCATCCCTTCCCTCCAGTGAATCAACTGCACCACTCAGATTGGTATCATCTGCAAACTTGCCGTGGGTGCACTCAATCCCACTGCCAGTCATAGAATCATAGAATCATAGAATGGTTTGGGTTGGAAGGGACCTTGAAGATCATCTAGTTTCAACACCCCTGCCGTGGGAAGGAACATCTTCAACTAGATCATGTTGTTCAGAGCCCCATCCAACCTGGTCTTGAACATCTCCAGGGATGGGGTATCCACAACTTCCCTGGGCAACCTGTTCCAGTGCCTCACCACCCTTTACAGTAAAGAATTTTTTCCTAATATCTAATCTAAACTTACACTCTTTCAATTTAACCCATTCCCCCTTGTCCTGTCACTACATTCTCTTGTAAATAGTCTTGCCCCATCTTTCCTGTACATTTCCTTCAGGTACTGGAAGGTCGCAATTAAGCGACCCCAAAGCCTTCTCTTTTCCAGGTCAAACAATCCCAATTCTCTCAGCCTTTCCTCAGGAGAGGTGCTCCATCCCTCTAATCATCTTGGAGGCCTCCTCTGGACTTGCTCCAACAGGTCAATGTCCTCCCTGTGCTGGGGACCCCTGAACTGGACACAGTACTTGAGGTGGGGTCTCACAAGAGCAGAGTGGAGGGGCAGAATCATCTCCCTTGACCTGCTGGCCGCACTGCTTTTGATGCAACCCAGGACACGGTTGGCTTTCTGGGTTGCAAGTAAACATTGCCAGGTCACGTCCAGCCTCTCATCCATCAGCACCCCCAAGTCCTTCTTGGCAAAGTTGCTCTGGATCTGGTCATCCCCCAGCCTGGATTGATACCGGGGGTTGCTCTGACCCAGGTGCAGCACCTTGCACTTGGTCTTGGTAAACTGCCTGAGATTTCAGCACTATGTCGTCGATGAAGATACTGAAGATTACTGGTCCCAGTACGGACCCTTGAGGGACACCACTCATTACTTGAACATTGAGCCGTTGATTTGGAATGCAGCCATTAGTCAATTCCTCATCCATCTAACAGTCCATCTATCAAATCCATCTCTCTCCAATTTCGAGGTAAGAATGTAGTGGGGGACTGTATCAAAGGCCTTACAGAAGTCTACATAGATAACATCAGTTGCTCTTCCCTTGTCCACTGATGCAGTCACTCTATCATAGAAGGGCACTAGATTAGTCAGGCACAACTTGCCCTTGCTGAAGCCATGTTGGCCATCTCTAATCATCTCCCTGTTTTCCATATGCTTCCACATGTCTTCCAGGCAGATCAGTTCCATGATCTTACCAGGCATGGAGGTAAGACTGACTGGTCAGTAGTTCCCAGGGAACTCCTTACTACCCTTTTTAAAAATGAGTGTGATAATATAAAAAAAATGGGTGTGTAATAACCACAATCAGTATACTTCCATATAAGATAATAGTGATGCCTTAGGATTCTTAAGATTTGTAGCATATAGATTTTTAATATAGCTGTATAGTTTCTAACACTTGAGAATAGCAGTTAACTAAAAATCCTTTCTCACGCTTCATATCAAATTCCTGAAATTCTTCCAGTTTTGTTTAATGTTCTCTTCAAGGAAAAGACCTTAGCAAGTACATCTTGTTTGGGACATGTACCTAGAAAGATATCATTGTAGACAAAGCAACCTAGAAAGCCCGGAGACCTTGGAGAAGCTCCAAAGAAGGGATGTGACCTAAGGATAGTGATGATGACGAAAAAAGGGGTCCTGAGACCTCCGATTCAATTCTGGGGCGGACCTGAGGGAGGTTCTGAGGGGTGGACAATTTTCGGGTTGGATATATCCATTAGATATGATAATTAATTACAGTTATAAAATTGTAAAAGCCCAATACTGTATTGTACACTATAGTGTACTTCTGTATATAGTGTACCTTTAAGTGCTTTAATTAAAGACTGCTCTCTACTTTATCTATATTAATATTGTCCAGAAAGTTCTCTTCTTCCATTTTAGGCAAAAATAGTTAACTT